GGGGGGGGGGGGGAAGAGACCACAGATGATCAGACAGTCCATTCATGCACTGACTTATTCGTTCCCAATATATTTATCAACTGTTTATCTGGTGTCAAGTTTTGTGGTACATTCTTTAAATTCCAAGAAACAATTCCTGACTTGAAGGAGGTCAATGGTATAAAACCCAAATATGTAGGGAAATCATTACAGGTCAATATTGCAAGAGCAATAACAGTGTAGAGTTCACACTTCCTTTAGGTACTTGCTATGGGCTAAGTACACAGTTCTAAACCTTATGTATTGTATACGACAACATTACGAGAGAGATGGTATTATGTCATATTTTGATGACACTGAGGCTCAGTGAAGTTAAAACACATGTCCAAGCTGACATCGCTTATACACAGGTGAACCTGGACAGCTTGACGCCAGACCCCATGCTCCTCACCACCCTCCTGAGAGTGGGGAGGGCGCTGAGGGAACGGGGCCAGCAGTCTCACAGGCTGCTCTGCTTGCTGGGTGTCCAGAACCTGAAGTGAGACCCTTCAACTTAATCTCCTGTGAGAGCAGATCTTAGAAAGCCACACGGCAACAATGACAATCAGGCCACACTGTCAGACTTGTCCTTCTACCCATGCGCTGTACAGTGTGCATGGCACTCTATGATGCTGTATTTCAGGAAAAACGCCTTCACAACAGGCAGCAAGACAGTTTTGTTCCTACAGAAGTGCTCCCTTGCCCAAGTCGCACTGAAACGGATTCAAATACCACCTCACGGGGAACAGTCTGGAACTAACCAGAAATCTGACTTTCAGAATTTGCATGATTAAGGGTTAGTAAATGGTCTCAATTGATCTTAAGCCAATTACCTGTTTCAGTGTGACTTCACAGACACTCTGGAGTAAACTATATAGATGATGGAGTTGACATTTCAGCAGGCTTCCACCCCGAATGACAGTATAATAGAAACCCAGTGTGCAAGAAACCCTGCTGTTCCCAGTGACAGTTGGGGGAACGTGGTTTCCCAAGAAAAACCTTCACCTGGCCTTGAACGTTCTGAGGCCGCAGCGGACCATTAAAGGTCTCTCACCTGACACAGTAGGCAAATACACAGAGCAATTCCTAGTGCTTCACTTCAGTGCCACGGTGATAAGTACAACAAAACAAAAAGACAAGAGCCCAAATGTTTCTATGTTCCCCTTACCACCGGGCTAGGCTTGAGTGTTAACTTGCTTGTACTAAACCTTTACCAGTAGTCTTCTTCCTCCTGGGCTTCTTTCAAGGACCAAGTATTTCTCGAACATTGGATTGTGTCAAATATTAACTCAGAACCGGTGTGAACCTGTCTCGATTGTTCTCAGGCTATTGCTCCCTCGTGAACCCACCTTGAAAGGCAAGCAGAAGGTGAGCTCCTGGGAAAAGGGCCTTCGTGTGGAGTTCTAGCTTAGCGTTTCTCACCAAGTCCAACAAACATATTGCGTAAGAGGAAAAGGCAGGTGAATTATTAAACTTAGTTAATTATCCCATTCCACTTAAATTCTTTAAGAACTAAATAAAACTGTTGCAACCCGCCCCCCCCTTTTTTTTTATCCTCACCCAAGGATATTTTTTCCATTGATTTTTAGAGAGAATGGAAGGGAGGAGGAGAGACATAGAGAAACACGGATGTGAGAGAAACACATGAATTGGTTGCTTCCCACACGCCCTTGACCAGGGCCAGGAGCCTGCAACCAAGGTACATGCCCTTGACCAGAATCGAACCCAGAACCCTTCAGTCCACAGACCAACACTCTATCCACTGAGACAAACTGACTAGGGCTATTGCAATCATTTTTATCTTTTTAAAATTCACAGTTTAAGGCCAGTTGTCTTCTCCCTTTGTGAAAATATGATGTTCAACATTGGGAGTCCACACATTTCCAAGATGGTAGTCCACAGACCAACACTCTATCCACTGAGACAAACTGGCTAGGGCTATTGCAATCATTTTTATCTTTTTTAAAATTTACAGATTAAGGCCAGATGTCTTCTCCCTTTGTGAAAATATGATGTTCAACATTAGGAGTCCACATATTTCCAAGATAGTATTTTTTTTAAATTGATTTCAGAGAGGAAGGGAGAAGGAGAAAGAGTAGAAACATCAATGATGAGA